TCTTTTTGGACGGACAGCTCGTCCACCCTTGGACTTTGACGAGAACTTCTCGAGAACGGCCTTCTGCATCTGTCCACACTGCAGCACGGAGGTCCAAACTCTAAATCACAATGAACCGAAAAGAGCATCACCCGATCTCAAGAGAGCGAACAACGCCCTGGCAGCCCTTTCTACGCAGTAAGCAGTACCCCTGCCGCCCACCACAGGACACTCCTGCCTGGCGCCACGCGGCACGAGCTAGTGACATCCGCGCGCGCGCGGGCGGGCGCCCAACCACCCACCTGATGGACGATCCCCACGAGTCGGAGAGCGGCGAGAACGTGCCGTCCGTGTTCTCCATGACGCGGTAGAAGTTGACCTGGTCACCCTCGCGGAACACCAGCAGCGTCACCTGCCGGCCGGACGTGTCGCCGTCCCACGACGCCTCCCTGCTGCGCGGATACACGGGCGTTAGTAGCCGGGCGGGCACGGCGAGGCGGGTTCGATTCCCGCCGCGCGGCGTTTTCGTCGCAGCGTGGTGACAATAAGCTGGGCTATCAAATGCGGCGGCACTCTGGACGATTTTTGTGGCATCAAAAGACCAAGCTACAGGTGCCTACCGCGTGACAAATGAATCAGATATTTGATTCGCAGCGAGGCATGTAAGCGATCAATAAAGAACAAAAACAACACTGGAAAACGTTTTCACCGGAACTCCCCCCCCCCCCACACCCACACAGACGCACCGCATGATCAGCAGACGGCCATCCGTTTCCATGCCTCGGCCCGGCAGCGGTGTTCGACTTCCTCAGACCGGTCACGGGGCGGTCAGTGACCTCGCCACCGAGAGCCGCCGCAGCACGCGACCAAGCATCGCGTCACTGTCCCGCCGGCCGGCACCTCCGTCGGCCTGCCCGGCCCGGCCCGGCGCGGTACGCCCCTCCCCCTCCCCCCCCCCCCGGCGTCGGCGGACGTGAGCGGGCGCCCGGTCGCCAGTCGATATCGTCGGCATGTCCCAATCGGTGCCGGCGGCGACGGTGGCCGCATTCCTGCACGGGTCCGCTACGGGCCCGGCGGCGGCGGCGGCCCGCACGGCGCCAGCGGCTGGCAGCGACCGTCTCTGACGTGAGCGCACGAGCTCGATGCGGGACACGCGGCTGGCAAGCGGCGGCGACGGAACGCGGCGACACAGCGCTGGCATGGTGCTCGTCGTTGGGAGCGGGATTTCGCGTCAATGTCAAGTACATGCTGCGTTCGTTAACAAGCGCCCACGCGGCCGGCTGAACACCGTTCGCTCGGGTGGGTTGGGGGGGGGGGGGGGCAATTTGACCCCCTGAGATATCAACAACTGAGAGAGCTAGGGACACCAAATTCGCACGGTGAGTCGGCCTGCATGTGCACTCACTTGTCAATTTTCGGGATCCATAGGTCATGAACTTCGGGTGTGATAAGGTCAAACAAGGTCAGGCTCAAAGTTGGCGTCCAAATTGCGCTCAGACCTCTTCATCCAACCGCCTTGAACCTACATACCTGTTCTAAGCAAAAGATGGCTGGTGCCTCTTTTAGGCCAACGACTTTACTTGACCTATAAATGGTTTGTTAAACAAAAACCTACAGTATTATTTCAATTTTTTATTTCAATAAGCGTTCAGGATTACAATAGGCAGTATGTTCATAAAACAGAGCGTTGATCTGGGTCATTTTAGGTCCATAACCTACAATGACCGTTCGGAAGTTCGTGGAAGATGTCTGTTGCGGTACCTGTTATCAAGAGATTCGAAATGAGCATAATAAACTACCCCATAAAGCAAGCTCTTCAGTACAAAAGCAGGTTGATTTTGAGCACAGCCTGACCATCATCCCTAACCCTAGGTCAAAACAATTTGTTGCAATTGTAAATATTTTTCAGCATTTACAGCTTTTGGAGCTTGGAGCATTTGCAGAAAAGCTAGGCTTGACCATATTAATACAGACCGTGGACACATTTTGACCCACAATATACATTTGTGGGGTCCTTAAAATCGATGCAGAATTCGGAACAAAATTCTGGCAAAGCCTCTGTGCTCTATCGGTTTTGAAAAAGTCCACTGGATCATTGTTAACTGAAGGGCACCTGCAATTTATTGCATGCAGTCATTTAACGCAAGAACTCTGCAGTTTATTCCCATACAATTAAGACCTAATGATATCGCCATGGTTTCTGTTCAAGCTTCCAGCATATATTCATGTTAGACAAAGCAACAATGAAAATAACACACGTAAAACATTCCCTCATAAACAAATGGGCTAAATCTGGCGATTTTCTTCGGGGGTGGGGCCTGCCACACCACTGGCCCTACGTCAATCCGTGCCCCCCCCCCCCCCCTGCCATGGCTCTGGCTACGACCATGCACCTCTTGTGCCAGGTCGTCTGCAGTCCAGACTGTGGAAAGTCCAGGAATGTCCTGGAGTGATCTTAGACGACCCCTTGGGCGGCGATCCTCACACAACCATGTCACCCTGGACTTGGAAGGCAAGGGTGGCGTGCTTCAACGATTACTTTCTCAACTTGTACAGCGCCACTCCGGGGCACCCACATGGTACAATGGCACAATGACAAAAAACATACCTGACCCTCTTTGAGTCCGACCTCGAATGTTATGCGCACCAGATGTCTCAACTAATTCCGCATAAGTTGTAGATCGCGCACAGCCGTGGGTTATTGGCCTTTCGTCATGTAGCGTGTGCACGCGCTCCTACCCCGCATAACTTCCCGAAGCTGCCACTTCACAGCCCAACATTTGGTTCATCTCTCCCTTGAACAAAGCATGCATCACATGAACATGCTAATCGGATGGCCCGGTTGTTTCTCCACGCCCCCCTGCCACGGATCCCGCTCTGTCCCTTATGGGATCCAGACCAGAAACATATACCTTCACACGAGCTGACCTCACCTGTATACATTCACCTATGTGACGTCACAGGCCCTCCCCCCACCTGCATCTCCGCCTGTGTGATATCACCCACAGCGGGTCACTCCGTCTGTGCCCGCTCCGCTCCTTCCCCCCACGTGACGTCACCACCTCTGCATCCCTGCCCGTATGACGTCACAGCCCCCTCCCCCTGTGACGTCACCTCACCTCTGTCACACCACACCTCACCTCTGCATCTCCATGAGCTGCTGCATCTCGGCGCGCGTGATGTCGTCATACATGGGCAAGCGTCGCGTGTTGACAGGGCCGCCGCGCATGGCCACCACCAGCTTCAGCCGGCTGCCGCTGGTGACGCCGCTCTCCAGCAGCGAGGCGCCGTCCGACAGCTCGCGCTCGTGGAAGATCAAGTGCTGCTGCGATATGGGCACGCCTGCCGGTGGCCGCCGCTCCGGTGATGGGGCGTCGTGGAGAGGGGACGGAGCGTCGTGAAACGGTGGACGGAGGGTCGTGAAATGGGGGGGGGGGGGGCGGAGGGTCGCGAAACGGGGGGACGGAGGGTCGTGAAGCGGGGGGGGGGGGCGGAGGGTCGTTGAAGCAGGGGACGGAGGGTCGTGAAGCGGGGGGGGGGGGGCGGAGGGTCGTGAAGCGGGGGACGGAGGGTCGTGAAGCGAGGGGGGGGCGGAGGGTCGTGAAACGGGGGACGGAGGGTCGTGAAGCGAGGGGGGGCGGAGGGTCGTGAAGCGGGGGGACGGAGGGTCGTGAAGCGGGGGGACGGAGGGTCGTGAAGCGGGGGGACGGAGCGTCGTGAAACGGGGGACGGAGGGTCGTGAAGTGGGGGGGGGGGGGAGGGTCGTGAAACGGGGGACGGAGGGTCGTGAAGCGGGGGGGGGGCGGAGGGTCGTGAAGCGGGGCACGGGAGGGTCGTGAAGCGGGGGGCGGAGAGTCGTCTGAAGCGGGGGGCGGAGGGTCGTGAAGAGGGGAAGGAGCGTCGTGAGGCGGGGGACGGAGGTCGTGAAGCGGGAGGCGGAGGGTCGTGAAGCGGGAGACAGCGGGTCGTGATGCGGGGGGACGGAGGGTCGTGGAGTGGGGGACGAAGCGTCGTGGAGCGGGGGACGGAGCGTCGTGGAGTGGGGACGGAGCGTCGTGAAGCGGGGGATGGCGGGTCGTGAAGCGGGGGACGGAGCGCGCTGAGGACCAGGCCGCCAGGGTTATCACGGATCTGTACAAGAGGGTGTTGGGAGGGCCGGAGGGGCACGCAAAGCATAGTCGGGCACGCTGTAGGACAGTGACCGCCTGAAGGCGGTCGCACTTCTAAGCGTTTAGTTTTTATTCGGAGAAAATTCCATGAACACAATGCCCTTTTTCTCTGTAGGCCTATCATGACAACAAGCATTGTGCTGCCAAACCGCTGCTAAGCCATGCGTTTCCTATTATCCAGTTGGGTCACCACTTACTCAAAGGAAGGACACCGGTCGCGGCCGCCGCAGATCAGCACTTGGTAGACTCGAGAACACCAACCGTCTCGCGCATCTCGCCGCAAACCCAACGCTCCCTCCCCCTCCCCCTCGCCTCCACAGGCTCACCCTCAATGCGCTGGATGCGCGCCTTCACCGACATCACCGTCTCGAAGCTGGAGACGCGCAGGTTGAAGCCAGAGCCAGTCAGCGTCTCCACGGACACCTCGATCGTCGCGGGACGGCGAGGCGGCTCGAGCGCGGGTGCCATCTAGCGGCACTACATGGCGGCCGCAGTTCGCGCCGCGGCCGCCGCGAGCGGCGGCGCTAGCTGGCGACTGCGGGTTCGGCTGGAACGACGTCTCCCATTAGAGGGAAGTGCTGCGGAGGCAGTGGCAGATGCCAAGGAGCCTCCTGGAAACCCCATATAAGTGTGGAACACTTGCTTTAAATAAAATGCAGAAATCACATTGCAACATATTTCAAAGCATCCAACAGACACTTTGTGAATGTCCTATCAACACCTGTAACTATAGCCACATGTGTTCCAAAATGTACTTAACACAACCTTTCTCATGACCCAACCACCACCCACACCCGGCACGATGGGCCCAGATGGCTGTGGGTACTTCCTGCTTGCCCTTGACTGGGATAGCCTGCCTTGCCCTGACATTAGGATGACATCACAAGCAGAACTACCCACAGGACAGACCATGCCAAAGATTGCACCATGTTTTTGCAACCAAATTCTGTTGGTGACCTAGCACTTAAGACAAGCAGCAGGTACTAGGGTTCCCACAACATGGACTGCTTGACAATGGCTTTGGTGCCAGAAAACAACCCATTCAAAAAGTTCAGACTATATCTTCAAAAAGGGGATCACACAACCTTGAGGTGGCTTCTTGGACAATGACACAATCTAAATTAGGAATACACATAATGGAAAAGCATCATAACCCTGATACAGCACAAACAATTGAGACATTAGGAGTTCCTAACAAAAAGGGATCTATAAAATCATATCACACTGAGAACCTGTCTATAGGCCATGTTTAGGCCTTGCCTGCCAGGCTGGCCTAAACACCACAATAGAGTTTTTAAGATGCATGCTGAGGGCAGTGGTGCCACCCCAAGTGCCTAGCATGACAGGAGTATAGTTTTCTGCTCAATTAGGGGACTTCAGGTACCCTAACTTGGGCCCCAGTCTCTCCTTCCCCCCCCCCCCCATACTTTTGGGAGGGAAGTGGGTGAAATCTGGGGAGAAGCATATTCAGCATATCTTGGGGTAAGTTAAATCATTTTTTCCATTCAGCTCCAATAACTCATTTTGTGAAACAATGTCTTGTAACATGCCTTGAAATAGCCCCTATTGTCTTAAGGGCATTCCTATCATGACTTGCAGACTGGTTGCCAGGCCACAGTAGGCCTCAACTCTGGGGAGCCATTGTTATGAAAGTCCTACATGTGTTCACTCTAAAAGCAACAATCAAGTGAGGAAATGATGTGTGGAATGAATAAGCAATGAATGATGGGAGCTTGCAGGCAAGAGTAAAGCACACATGTATACAAATATGTATTACAATGCCTATGCTAAGACTACCAAACAATTGCAGACTTGGGAGCCTTGAAACATGTGGGCCTGAGCACTCAGCCTGACAATGATTCTACTACTAGTGTACGCAGAAAGGCAGCCTGGGTACGCTGGTAGCAGGTACAGAGGTTGTTACTCACCGAAACACATGCTACAGCGGCGAGACGAAATGTATTCTCCACCCGCAACCCCTCGATCAGGGGGCGGCTTCCCACACGAGGATAAAGGCGACAGCCGATTCAAAACAGAAGAACCCTTGTACCTGCAGCAGAAATCGCGGTCACCGGCCACCACCGAAAGCCGCGGACAATGAATGTGCCGGGCACGTTCCCCGCTTTGTGTGTTGAAGGAATTCGTCCGATTGCTTGGCCTTGACAACGCTGCCATGGTTACCGGAGCAATAAATATAAACAATACATTACACCCAGCTAAAAAGTAAGTTAATGAAAGAAATGCGCCTCTCCCTGACAAATTCGATATCTTTATTGGGTAGAAAACATCAAAATGTCAAAAATATGTGATATACCAGGTAAATTTTCAATTTGCTTAGAATTACGGACCATCTTACTCGTTTTATTGACACTAGGTGGCAGCAGAGCCTGGTTAACTTGGCGCACTAGGTACGAAAAACAGCGCATTTTGCGTCACTAAACAGTGTCCTACATGACATACGGAAGAACCCTAAGACAAAAGGGCTGTGGTTGGAGTGCAGGAGAAATTTGCGATTTATCGCCGAACAAATCATAGATTTTGCCCAAAACTTGTGTTATAGGGTTTGGCCATTGATGCATTGGCTATATAGCGCTACAGTGTATCGGTTTCAGTCAAGTGGCGCCGGTGGCAGCGACAAAAGAGGCGCTGGCGTGGTCCTCCACTGGGCGAACTCGAATTTGGAATTGTCAGCCTAACTGGGAAAAACTGCAACTGTCCCCATTCCGAGAGCTCTACTCTGGTATTCTGCATTCCTTGGGAAGCTACTGGATAGGGCTTTGCCAATTGTTGCTTCTAGCTGCCAATGGTCATGAGGAAGCTTTTTTCCAAGAATCCCAATGCTTCCAATCATTCTTCACAAAATACATCATTTGTTGGGAAGACCTTTCAGGTTGGAAGAACATCCGTTACTGTGGAAGATGTGATCGCTGAAGGTGAGACATCTGACAGGTGCTGGCTTTGATTCTGGGCCAGACCATACAAATATACGTATGCTGCACAGCGCCAATGCAGCAGCAGGGTCCTATAAACAATTCAAGTGCAGACACTGTGCAATTGTCAGAACTCAAGTTTGGTGCTTGGTCACAACTAATTCAAGCACAGACACTGTGCAATTCTCAGAACTCAGGTTTGGTGCTTGGTCACAACTAGTTCTACTACACAACTACTACTACACAGATAGCCAATGCTTTAAGGAATGAGGATTTTGGGTAATTCCAAGCAAAGGGACTTGTGAGCCATTTTTCAAGCAAACAATTTGAAAGTTAAGTGCAATTTGAGTTCACCTATATTCATTATGTGTTGCCCCCTCTGAAATGATCATTTTCAGGAAAGTGGTGTAAGATAACAAATATTGAGGATTGTGGCCCACTTATGAGTTCTTATTAATGATGTAACAACTGTTGCATTCAAAAATCCAAAACAGTAAAATTGGTCATTTTTGAAAACATGGCTTGTATTAACATAATATATTTTGAAATTACCAATTTTTGCTTTATGTTTTTTTTTTGGCAAGTTCTGTAATGACCTATGACCTGCTCACCACTAATACTTATCAAATGCTGCCATAGCTTAGGTGCATGCAATGTTGACAGAAGTCATAAACAAGTACAAAACCCAAACTGTTGTTATTTAATTCTATTTTGGTATTGTGGCTTTCTTTGCATAAAGATTGCAACCATGTTTTGCTTATCAGGGAAAGCTTGCATATCAATGTGTTATGGATTACACTGGAGAGGGGAGGGGCACTAATGCTGATAGTCAGTTAAGTTATGCCAAAAGACGCTGGCAGATCGTGATGAAAAAATGTGGTGTGGCATCTGCTAATAACATGCCAGTAATGTGCCACTTCAAGGTATCATGAAATATGTATGCAACTAACTTAAGTGGCCGATTATATGATAAAACCTTAAACTACATTGTTGCAATACATATTTTTAAGCTCTTTCCAACAAATCTTGACACAAATAGACTGTATGTGCACTTACAGTTTGTATTGTGAAAATGTTCTGGCTGTCTTTTAAAAATGACTGCTGTCAGATTCCTTCAACATATTGGGCAGGCACAGGCATTGGGCCTATTTTGTATTTTTACTCCATCTCACCCAGCATACAATGATCAGGAAGTTCCTGTACTGCAGGATATATCTATCAGCAGATTATTGGAGTGTTTCAGGCCATCCTCAACCACTGGAGCCAAGTGAACTCTACAATTTTGCCAAACAAGTCAGCAGGAGAATCCCAAATTCTGCACTTTGAGGTTCAAAAATACAATGCTATGTCATTTATCATGTTCATTGTGTTAAAGATCCATCTCTGGCAATGCAAGAGTCTCACTTTATGAAGTTTCTCAAGGTGTGCACTGGATTCATCAGTGCATACCACATTCCGTAAGCAAAGTATTATTTAAGTCAAACTATGTCTACTTTAATTCCCAGGTAAATTTTCTCTGAATCAAACTGTGTACACCACATATATGCGAAAATTATTTAAGTCAGGCTGCATGTGTGCATTTACAGAACTGGGTGTTATTCAGAAATATACCTTGTCATTTGTTTGTTCCACAGCTGTTTTTAATCAGTTCTGTTGGCAAGCATAAAGGAAATTCATTCACATAGCTGAAGTGCCTCTGGGCTAAACTTTGCTGTCTGTAAAAGACAGAAAGATGTATTTGACAACATTGTGGTTTTATGCAAATCTGACTTAATGGATTTTGTGGAGCCACTGAACTAGTCATGCCAAGTCAATGTCAGAATCCCACATGTGTGGTAATCCCATATGTGTCACAGTTTCCCTCTCCAATCATCATGTGTAGGTTAGGATGACATACTGGTACAACATTTTGTAGTCCTTGAACTTGACATCATGGGGAGTGGTGAGAGAAGGGTGGGGGTGGAGGATGAACTCCCCCACTATGGAGCTGATTTATTGGCTGGGGCCATAACAGCTGTGATGTGTGAGTGGCAGCGCTGCTGTCGGCGCACATTGGCGGCGTCAGTGAATGGTCAGGATTAGTGAGCACGTGACATGCATGGTGTCAAGTACTGCCCCAAAAGAACATTGCAGCCAGACGACGGGTTCCTGTTCTTGTAAAATCCATGAGAACTGCACTGTTACGGCTATGGCATTGCGACTTTTTCGGACGATTTATGCGCAGATTTAGCGTAAATTCTTTTTGGGATAGCTGTGTCTGTGACTAGAAATTACGCATATGGGCCCGTTAGCTGTCGCCAGAAGAGAAAGCCTCACTTCAACAAGATACAAGTGTGAACATGACGTAACCACGTCGGGTAACCTCACTCGTCGCATCACCGGAACACGTAACGGAAAACGCTTACCATTCGCCGCTGTTTACCCGATTGCCTTGTTTAACGACAATATCGTGCCGCAGTATTGCAGCACGACAGGCTGGATAGGTATCGCGATAGGGTAGATCGCCACGGACCGTTCACCCAGCTGGCTGGCGGCGACGATGTTGCTCTATTGTGTCGTTTGATCGGACAGCAGCGGCCGATCACGGGCGTCACCGACACACGGCTGCCACCGACACAACGGTGTCACCAACACAAGGATGTCACCAACACACGGCTACCACCAACACACGGGTGGTACCGACACACGGGTATTACCGACACACGGGTGTCACAGACACGCGGGTGTCACCAACACGGGTGTCCTCGACACACGGCTGTCACTGACACACGGGTGTAACCTGCACATGGCTGTCACGGACACGGGCGCTGCCTCGTCCCGGCAGCAGTCATGCTGGCCGGCTCACAAACAATGCCGCACAAACACGGCCAAACAGCGGCTCATAGCACCGCACGGCGGCGCGCTCCCTTGAGCAGCGGCCGCGGGCGCCCTGGCGGCGAGGCGCGCGTGCCTGGTGACCCGTGACCTGACCGTGCCCGCAGGCGGCTTCGCCATCGTGTTTCTGGTGCGCGGCCCCGGCGGCCAGAAGCTGGCGCTGAAGAGGATGTACGTCAACAGCGAGGCCGATTTGCAGGCATGCAAGCGGGAGATCCAGATCACGGTGAGTGACGGCGCCACGACGTGAGGCGGCGCGGCAGCTGGTGGGGGCGCGGAGCCGATTCGGCTGGGGTTTAGCCGAGTCACTGCGTTGAAGAAGAAGGAAGTCGTTTCATGGTTGACGAGAAGCGGTGATTTTCGCAATGGTGGCAACAAGGCAATGATGGCTATTTGATGTGGTTGATATAATACCGCTGGATGTGATGTGGTTAAGTTAACAGCAGTTAGTGGTTGAGATAACGGCAGTTAGTGGTTGAGATAACGGCCGCAGTATGTTAATTAATTAAGTAACGGCCGGTAACGGTAACGGTTAATTAATTAATGAAGTATGTTAATTAAATAACGGCCGCGGCAGTTAATGGTTAATATAGCGGCAATTAGTGGTTGAGATAACGGTAGTTACTGTAATGGCCGTTAATGTGATGATGGTAACTGCAGTGTTGGTGATGTGATTGTGTGATGTATGCCTCAGAGTACCGGTTCGTGCGTAAAGCAGAGGTAGAAAGTCGGCCAGCGGAGCCGCCGACTGACGGCGCTGCCAGTTTCGTGAATTTATAGGGGTTTAGACCACCAAACTGTGTGTCGGCGGGCTGCTTCTGGCGCGATCAAAATTCCCCTCCCCCTTAAAAAATACTTTCAGCCCAGACAAGGCTGAACCAGTGTGGGCGCCAGGTGATGAAACTGTAGTCGGTGTACGCGAAACACAGAAAACAGCAAGGCTGGGACACCTGAAACACTGACTTTTGGGCTCTGTCTGCGGCCATAATGCGAATACTACGACGCAGACATCATAGTAGTATTGATGATGGATGTCTATAGTAGTAGACATAGTAATATATACTGACATCAAGTACTATTGAATGGTAGCCTCTTCTAGTGTTCCCCTGCTAAAGTTAAAACTTAGCCGTCTTCGGACCTCGTGAAGAGAAATTCCGTCCAAAAATACAGATATACGAATGTAGGTAGCGTGCTGCAGCGTTCTACTTATTTAAGTAACCGCGGTTCTGCGGTGGGCACGGTGCCCGCTAAATCCGAGATGCGCCACATTGGTGGCGGCTGCGGCGAGACTGTGAGCGGGCGAGCTGCGTCCGATCGCGCATGATGCAACGCTCGGC